GGGATCTCCTCTGCTAGTACTACATCCACATGTCTGAAATCTCAGGCAGCATCATCATTTCCTCGATCAAGACCTAAAGTGGAATCTCAGGTACAACAAAGAAATATGGATAGTCGAACTGGTAATAGCAGAAGCTTAAAACCTGTGGATAAGAACATGCAGCAAAGAATGATAAGAAGCAGCAAAACAATAAATGCAAAAGTTGCAACAGCTTCTGGAGATTCTCCTACTATGATTCCATCAAAGCCTGGTGTTGTAAAAGCGACGAAGAAAAGCAGTGTTGTCCCAATCGAATCAAAATCCCTTAGCCGTAAGAGCTTGGGCATTGGCCGTGCCACACATCCAGTTGTTAGCAAGGTAAAAGGTTCTCAGTTAGATGAATCTCTGAAGGGGTGTGGAAATGTAATAGAAACACAAGAGAAGAAGGTAGTTATGAATGCATTAACCACAGAGAGTGGACTCCAGGATGTGGATACTGTGTCAGTGGGCCAACATGGAGCTGCTGTTGGGTCCGAACCTCCAGCAAAAAGCCATCAAGATCATGACAAAATCTCAAACTTTGATCTACTTCCTGGTGATTGTAATCATGGCTTCAAAGATAATGGAGTGTCTTCAAAAGACGATGAGGTTGAAGAAGAGTCAACCATTTCTCCCACAGCTTGGATTGAAATAGAAGAGCATGAGGATGTGCGTAATAGCTGTGTTAACAGGGCATCTCAACTTGAATCTTCAGCCAATGTTGTACCAGTCCAATCAGCAAGTCCACGTGTGCGACATTCTCTATCACAGATGTTGCAGGAAGAAAGTAGTGAAGCTGATAATACTGAGTGGGAAAATGCAGAAAATCCTCCTATCATGACCAACCAAAAAGACGCTCCTAAAGGATTAAAGAGGCTCTTGAAGTTTGCCAGGAAAAGTAAGGGTGATGCAAATATATCGGGTTTGTCTAGTCCATTAGTATTTTCGGAAGGAGAGGATGAAGGAGAGGAATCTAAAGTGGTTAGTAAGAGAAATGCTGACAATCTACTGAGAAAGGCTGCTCTTCATGCCAGAAACTATGGTTATCAAAAGAAATCTTTATCTGAGGTCCACGAACAAAATAAGGACTCTCATGAACCTCTATCTGGTACGTTTTCTCTTGGCTCAGTTCAATTTTATCCTTGATTGTTACACGTGCCAGATCTGAATTTTGTTTTCAACTTTTCTTTTTCAATAGAAGTAGAAGAACTATTTGTTCCATGCATGACAAGAGAATTACACTATTCCCTTTTTTTTTTTTTTCTTTTGTTTCATTCTTTTTTAACTTTTCTTGGGAGTTCTTTCTTTTTGCAAATCACTAAAAAAACAGCTGCAAAGTTAGTAGCTGATGATCTAATGACGCCTGCAGCTCAATCAAATCTAAGAAAACTTGGGCGCTCAGGTTCTCGTAAGTTGGATAACGCCAGTTTCTCCGCCACATCTTCTACAACTAAGGTTAGTTGAGCCATCCCTATTTGGCATCTCGGCTTGCCTTGAGTAATCTGTTTCTTCAATGGCCACAAATCACAACGATAACTTTTTACTTTTCTTCATTTCATAGTTAAGTATCCTTTCCAAGGATCTCATCAAATTTGTAAATACTTTGTTGCAGCAACAAGGTCATTCTTCTCTCTTCCGGCATTTATGGGGAGCAAACCGAGTGAAATGAAAGCTTTGCCAACGGTGGATGATCAGAGGAATGAAACCCATGAGATTCCTAACATGACTTCTATCTTCCTAAGGATACACAGTCTAAAATTTGGTTTGACAAAGAAATTTGTTACTCCTCCCACACTATGTCCTTGTTTATATTGCTCTATATATCATAAGCAGGGTGTAGACTGATTTAGATCACCAAAGATATGATGCAACTAAGTTTTGTCGTCTCTTCCATGAATAATTCCTTGAATATCATTGCCTTCCATTTTTCAGTTTTTCAAATTTTCATTTTTTTAAAACTGTTTTTCCTCTATTCTTAAGAAAAATTAATTGAAAAGTTTTTTTTTAATATCTAATCCCTCTTAGCCTAAATCTAACACCCTAATTCGTGCAGCCATGCTATTTAACAAACCGGCCTAATGTTCCATCTTTGTCATAGAAACTCTAGCAGTATCACATATTATATAAAACCATTTTTACCATTTGTCCAAAATTAATTATTTGAAGTATTAAAAAATTAAACATTAAAATTAAAAAAAAAAATGATAATTGAAATACTATATTCGGAACAAATTTTAAATTTAAATAATTAGTTAAAATTATTTTTAACTTTTTTTTAAAAAAAAATACTATAGATTAAATTGTAATAAAATAAATATTAATGATTAAATTGTAAGTTTAATAATTTACTAAGCTTTATAACGTTTCTAAATTTATTCCAAATATGTCAGAAATTCAATTTCTTTGTTCTAAATTCGAACTCAAAACAACAAGTAACAGATCCACTTAATCAATCTTATGTTACTTTCTTTAAAAAGCTACGAACACCACTGCTACTGTGGACAAGAAATATATAGGAATATTAGTGACTGTGATAAATTCATACACCTGTAAATAATAAATTATATTACATGTTTAATATATTGATAAAGAATTTAATTATTTCTATTTTTTTTCTTCTACACTGGGTCATTATGGAAATTTGAATATTCAAAGAAATTGGAGAAATTATATTTTAAAAATATTGTCAATTAAATTTTAAATTGTATAATCAATTAAAATTTCTAATAAAATAATATTAATTGCTAACGTGATAAGAATTATAAAATCAAAAAGAAGGAAAAGAAGAAAGAAAGTAAAGCAGGTGGAATTTAAAATTCGATAAATTGGAAGTGTCTTGGGTTTACAGCGAAGACGGAAGCCGCCATTATTGGCTGCCTGCCACAGGAATAGTCTTCTTGTTATTTCAAATTTCCATTTCCTAATTCCCTTTCGACAGAGCCGACGCCTGAGCAGATCTGCTTCTTCCTGATTAAATTTCCATTTTGGATTATTTTCTGTTTCTACACGACGCGAGGTAACTTCCATTTCCTAATCCAAATAACTTGAATATGGATAATGCTATCACAATCAAGTTTGTTATCCTACTCTCCCTTTCTCTGCGTATTTCTTTGATTGGAGCTTCAAATATTTACTTTTGTAGTTACTTCAATTACTTCTTTATTTCTGGTTTTTTGGTTTTGGTGTCGGCTTCTCTACTTCGGGTTTGAATGTCTTAGTTGCCGAAATGATACTTTTTGGTCCCCAACTGCTGCAGGAAAACGAGTAAGTTTGGGGTTTACGATTTCGCCGGACTCTCCTTGACTACGACTTAAATCATTCAATGTCCAGGGGTTTAAGAGAATCAAGAGGCATTTATTGTAAGGCTTAGATTTGACTCACGTCTTTTTTAGGTTTGTTCTTCTAGCTCCTTCTCCATGTTACCTTTTTTCTTCATCTTCTTGATTGATTTCTATATATCATTCTTTTAAACAAATTATCTTCATTTTCAACCAGGCTGTTTTACAATGGCGGATATCATGCCAATTTACCTCAACATTGTAGCATTTCTATGCACCAGTGGAGCCATTTCTCTGGCAATTTTCCACATCTACCGACATCTTTTAAATTACACGGAACCTACTTATCAGAGATTCATTGTTCGCATCATCTTTATGGTCCCGGTCAGTGCCTTCTTCTGAAAAACCTTGTTACTAACTCTACATGTTTATTCATTAAGAAAAAGTCTGGAGGTTTCTTAACACGGCAAATTCTTCACTCACATTACATCTAGCACATGGTTGTTGCAATTGGTTTGGGTTAGGTCAGGTGATGGAAAGAAGGATCTTGTTGGCTTTCCTTATAGGAGATAAGCGTTAGATCTGCATGGAACTTATACTTAGGCATTTTCAACTTCTTAGTAGGCAAATGTTTTTAGTTTACTAAAACATTGTGTTCAATGCCGTGATTCATTTACCCTGCATTTTGATTTCAAACTAATTAGGCACGGGTTCTTCTCATTGATCAGTTGTGTGATCTCCTTATAGTTTTTTGTTGTTTGTCTGTGTTTTTCTTCTTGCTTTAATGTTGATTCAACAATTGTGTTTTCACATCAAATTTAGACTCATTTCCTTCATTGGATTCCTGATAATGCCTAAGATTATGGAAAATCACTTAAATTACGATATACAATGAGAAATTATCTCCAAATGTTAAGAGTAGAGATGGAAAAGTAAGGTGGAAGATTAACTCGCTTCATGTCTAGGCAATGCATTTGTTGGTAACTAAGTTCAAAGGGCAGAATTACTTATCTTATTTTTTCTTACTTCTTTTTTGGTAAACTAATCTCATGCTGCTTACAGTTCCCAAAACAAGATAATTTTACTATTCTTATCTGCATGGATTTGGGAGGACTAAGGAGAAAAAGATGTCATTGAGTGAGAACTGTCTTTGCTGGCTTGTGATCATTGGGTTGGAGTAGAATACTAGGACGTTTAAGCAACAGTTCAACTGCTACATATGATCTGGATAGGAATATCTTTTTTTGCTTCTCATTGAGTGAAGGACCAATATTTCCTTCTGGGGATGACTTTAGTCACGCCTCATGTTGTTTGATAACATATATATAACCAGTTAATGTATCTATAACCAGTTTGAATCTTTTGTTCTTTGGCAGGTTTATGCATTAATGTCTTTCATGTCCCTTGTTCTACCTCAGAGCTCAATCTACTTTAATTCCATTCGAGAAATGTAAGCATATATCCTATATGTGTATATGATGCTCAATGTCACCTGGATATGTTATTTTTCTTAATTGTTGAAATTGGATTCTGATCTTCACTTTATTTGAGAGGTAATTTCTAGTTTGCAATTTTTCATTTCTGTAAAGGGTGCCATGAGGCAGCTCATAGGCACATTAAATGTCTGTAGGAACCACCTGAATCCTGAATATGAGCAAAATCACCCTAACATAGAGTGGTCTGCGCCTATAGCTAGAGAATTTTTGCAATGGTTACGTTGTGCTTTACGAACCTTTTACTGTAATTCTCCATTACCTTGTATAACCTTTGCAAATTTTTATTTGTGAAAATTTTTAGTTAATTACCATCCTTTTCTCCCTTCATTTTATATTGTACCCTAGAAGATAGCTTCCTGTACAGGCATGACATCAGTTTCTTGTCTACAATTCACTTTATCTAGACCTGGAAAGCAAACTATGCAGGCTTTTATATATAGTTAGGCTGGAAAGAGGGTGTGCTGGAGGGTTCTTTTTTTGGGGGGGAGGGGGGAGGAGAGGAGGGGGTACTCATGTCAGAACTACATTAAAATAGATGGACATTAGCATACAATTTGTAATCAGCTAGCATTTTTTTTAAGAAGAAGCGAGGAAAATAGAAGTAGAACCCTATAAACATTGAATTGTGAGGTGGTGGTAATGACAACAGCTTGACAACTGTTCGGCAGTCAGATATATGAACTGGCTCCATCTTTCCTGTGCTGGAAATATCTTATCTTACCAATTGGCCAGCTGAGTTGTAACCAACTACTTTTGAAAATTCAACCAAATTGATTATGGTGTTCAAAGGCTTGCTATCCATCTTCAGGCTTTCAAGCTAAATGAAACTGAAATAATAGGAGAGTAAGCATATGGACTTCTTGTAGCTGTTGGTTTGGAGAAATGCATGCATAGTAAGATCTATTTTCAGGGTGTATTTTCAGCTAATTGGTTTTTCTGTTCCTCCCCTACACCATGTCTGTTTCAGGTATGAAGCATGGGTTATTTACAATTTCCTGTCACTATGCTTGGCATGGGTTGGTGGCCCAGGAGCTGTTGTGCTAAGTTTGAGTGGTCGTGTCATGAAGCCATCATGGTGTCTCATGACATGTTGTTTACCTCCAATACCATTGGACGGGTGAGTTTCTTTTATGGAACTGTAAATATTTTTACATCCAATACCACTTGATAGTGGGTTTCCTTGATGGAACTGCAAATCGTTCATACTGGTAATATATTTAGTCACGGTGTTTTTTAGTTTCTGATGATTTACAAAGTAAATCAATCGGGAATTAACAGCGCAAAACGGTCTTTAGACACAACATAACTTCTCCTTGCAAAGATTGGGGTAAAGTTGAGGTTTGGGTGATGGAAATACGTTAAATTATTAATATTCTTTGTGAATCATGCCATGTCTTCACTGAAGCATACTTTCTGTTCCTCCAACCTTAAAGCATGCGGACATTTTTTCTTTTTTGTTTAGAGCAGACATGAGGGAACCTTTTTTTTTTTCTTTTTTTAATAATATGAAGGGAGAGGGATTACTTGAATTCCATTCTCAAATTAGGATCCTGAAATCTACAAGAGAGATATAAAGAATATCTTAAGACTTCTGACTTTTGTGATAACTTAGATCCTCAAACAATCTGTCAAATATCATATATTTGAATGTTATGTATCCAACTAAGCAGATTTTGAATAAATTCACATATCTTGAACTGTCAATGCAGGCGATTTATACGGAGGTGCAAGCAAGGATGTTTGCAATTTGTGATTCTAAAGCCCGTCTTAGTTATTGTTACGCTAATCCTTTATGCGAAAGGAAAATATGAGGATGGCAATTTTAGTCCAAATCAAGCATATCTATACCTTACTATCATTTATACCATCTCCTATACAATGGCTCTTTATGCATTGGTATTATTTTACATAGCCTGCAGAGATCTGCTTCAGCCATTCAATCCTGTCCCCAAGTTTATCATAATCAAATCTGTTGTTTTCTTAACATATTGGCAGGTAAAATTCCTTGCTGCCTTGCCTATCCTTATAGCATATTGGAATAATTGCAAGATGAAGTCGTAGCCATGTGTACAATTTCTCCGACTTCTAAGCAACCTCGTACTTTATTTCAGGGTGTTCTGGTTTTTCTTGCTGCTAAATCTGGGTTCATAAAGGATGCAGAGGAAGCAGCCACGTTTCAAAATTTTATAATATGTGTTGAGATGCTTATTGCTGCAATTGGTCATCTTTATGCATTTCCGTACAAAGAGTACGCTGGTGCAAATATTAGTGGTTCACGTGGTTTCACAGGGAGCCTCGCACATGCCTTGAAGTTAAATGACTTCTATCATGACACTGTTCACCAGGTGAGTTTTTCATGTCACCATTATCTTCTTCTAATTTTACTTAGAAAAGCAAGATTTTTCTCTTTGCTCCAAGTTTATTGGGTATTGATCTCATGATTGTTTATAATCCTCACAGTTTGCACCAACTTACCATGATTATGTACTCTACAACCACAGTGAGGGTGAGGAGGGGACAAGGAAGTATCGATCACGCACATTTGTACCAACTGGCCAGGAGATGGATACTGTTAGAAGGAACAAGCACGTCTTTGGAAATAAGATAGAGGAGATACAGTCTTCCAGTCACTCGTCTTCCAGTACAAGCACCCCAAAGGATTCGAACACTAGTCTTGACCCTGTCCAGTCTGATGCTACAAAATCTTCCTTGCTTGTGGATCCCTCAAATTCTTTTGCTGTGTCATATGACATGTCTCTTATTGACATTGACATGTCTAGTTATCCAGCTAAAGTTCCTGCAGCTAATGAAAGTGGGACTAGATGACAAAAATGGATAAAGTGCCATAGATCAGCAAGAAGAATTTCATTTGATGAGAAAAATGGTTAAAGAGGACTTTCAGTTGCATCTTGTGCGGAAGAGGCTTGCGTGCAAATTGGCTATATTTTATTAAGAAGTGTGATTAACCCTTCTGTTCTTCCCCTTTTCTGTCTTTTTTTCTTAAAGCAAGGTACTTAATGAGCTGTTGTCCTCCTGCTGGAGTTGTCTTTAATCTGAACCGCCTGTTCTTCTACGTTGCCCAGGTCTAATTTGGCCCCTCGTTGTAGATACAAACTTCGTTTGTAATATCCGGAATATCAGAGTTGAAACAACTTTTATACCATTGCAATTGTACTGTGTGGAAACTATCCCACCTAGAATTTCTTTTTATCCTTATTTTTATGCCCTTTTCTAGGTTTGTGGGTGAGAAGAAGATGCAGATGGAAGTGGAATCAGAGACAGGTATCATGTTGGTAACTATGATTTCATTTTGTGTCTCTTATTAATAGGACTTTATACAAACAATTATGCTGACTGTGGGAATACGTTATGTTTAGTGGTAATAAGATCATACAAATGCCGATGATTAGTTTAGGGTCAATTTCCACTAATATAGATATAGCCGTATCGGATCTACACCGACAGATTTCATTTTTTGTTTTGTTTATGATGCTTATACTAACTATTAATATTGATTACATGGCATATACAATGTTTAATGGCAGCTAAGCTAGACGTTGTGAGTGAGATATCATGTTTTAATGTTTTGGTGTGATGTCTGTATCATTATAGTGTGAGAGAGGAAGTTTTCATGATATGTAAAACTTGTTAAGTGATTTATTGCAGTCACTCTTTCTATTCAAGTTTCCAACATTTTTCTGACCAGTACAAACACTATCCAGTCTAGTTTTATGACTACTTACAGTTGCTTCATTTTCATTAACAAGTAAATTTTTTGGTTGCATCAGAAAATTTTGGTAATTAACAAAGTAAAATTGAGAATGGTAATTAATAAAAAAAAAAAAACAAAGTTCGTATAAACTTGAATTTCTTCGTAATAATAAAATCATAAAAGATTAAAGAGGATTGGGAGGATGACAGTTGCTAACTGTAAGGTATAATGATACCTCCCTCCAATTTTAATGGGAGAGAATATAATAAAAATGAAATAAGGAATTAATAAATACTTTATAAATAGGAATTGGTGAACGTTACAACAAATAAATAAAATAATATTTTGGAGAAAATGGTGGTGGTGGTGGTGGTGGTGGTTGCCGGTTGGGGGATGGTCGGTCCAACCCTCAATAATTAAATCCATTCCCTAATTTTTATCAAAAAAATTAAAATTAATTTCCCATTATTTTTTAATTTTTTTTTTACTTTCCTATGCCACGTGGCCTGATTAATTAAATATAAGCGACGTCGTATTAATTCCTGGGAATGTTACGTCTAAACTTCTTTACTTCTTCAAACAGTTTATTACCTCATCATCAGGTTTTTTTTTTTTTTAAAGGACAAATTAATATTAATATTAATATTTAATTAATTATTTTGTTTGTACACGTGGCAGCTTCCGATGAGTTAATGAGGACACGCCGTGCCGCCACTGAATGAATTTGCAGCCCTTTTCACACCTACCCAAACCAACGCTTACCAGCTCATATCATTATTTATCTTCTTCCCCTCTAATGACTTTTTTAAAGACTAATTATATATATATATATATATAAGTATAAGAAGTTTGGTTTCTTTTACATATAGGTATATAAGTGAGAAAACTGAGTTAAAAAGTAATTAATTTTCTTTTTTAAGGATGAAATTATCATTAACTAATCATTACTTAAAATTAGATTATACGTGCTGATTAACAAAATCAATTTAAGAAACCAGTTAATTTATTTTTAATTGCTCATGCAAATTAATTTGATTATGTATTTTATTAATTTTCTCTGCCGAGAAATAAAATGACGCGATTCCGCATTTAGTTTTTAATTTGACAGAATGAATGAACGGAGTCAAAGTCAGAGTCAGAGTCAGAGTCGGAAAAGATAACGTCTCTGCCACGTGCTCCTACTACAGTACGCATCAATTTTGAATACGTATTATTTATTTTCAAATAATAATAGAAAAAAAAAATGATTATTTCTGCATGCAAAATCAAAACGCACAGTTTTGTACGTCCTTTAAGTCAACACTTGAGACTTAATTAGCCATCATGTGACTTAAAAAAGTAAAAGTATTCATATTAATTTCCACTTGCCAAAAACACTATATAAATAAAATTAATATTGGTTTAAAGAAATAAAAATATGTAATTAATTCCCGAGAATCCAATTTTTTTTTAGAGGGAATCATTAATGAGAAAAGATTAATAGGTGATTAGCACAAAATTAGAAGGGACAAATAAACCTGTTAATAATAATATTGGTTATTACTTATATAATTTACATACGTAAAATAAATTAAATTAATAAAAAAAAAAGAGAAAAATTAATTAATAGCATGTTAAGTGAGCGTTGAGTGACGCGATTCCTTCATTTAATCCTCTCATCTGCCTCCGCCCCTCTGGTCCCCGTTGCCTTTAAATTCCTTCTCCTCTTCCCTTATATCCTCATCTCCTTCTTCCTCCCTCTCTCACTCCCCACAAGCACATCTTCTCTTCTCTTCTCTCAATCTCTTCATCCTCTCCACCAACCAACCATGCCTCCAATCTTGCCAGACTTCTCCAACTCAGTCAAGCTCAAGTACGTCAAGCTTGGTTACCAGTACCTGGTTAACCATTTTCTCACTCTCCTCTTATTCCCCATCATGCTGGCAATCCTCATTGAAGTTGCTCGTTTGGGTCCTGAAGAAATTCTTAATCTATGGCGGTCCCTTCACTTTGATCTTATCCAGATTCTCTGCTCTTCTTTTCTCATCATTTTCGTTGCTACTGTCTACTTCATGTCCAAACCCAGAACAATTTACCTCGTTGACTATGCCTGCTACAAACCACCCGTCACCTTCCGAGTTCCATTCGCCACCTTTATGGAGCACAACAGACTTAATCTCATCAACAATCCCAAGAGCGTTGAGTTTCAGACGAGGATTCTTGAACGCTCCGGTCTTGGAGAAGAAACTTGTTTGCCTCCAGCTATTCATTACATCCCTCCGAGACCAACCATGGAAGCAGCCAGAGGAGAAGCAGAGCTTGTTATCTTCTCCGCCATGGACTCTCTGTTCAAGAAAACTGGGTTAAAGCCAAAAGATATCGACATCCTTATTGTTAACTGCAGTTTATTCTCTCCAACTCCGTCTTTGTCAGCCATGGTGATTAACAAATACAAGCTGAGAAGTAACATAAAGAGCTTTAATCTTTCAGGGATGGGGTGCAGTGCAGGGTTAATCTCCATTGATTTAGCTCGTGACCTTCTTCAAGTTCACCCTAACTCAAACGCTGTCATAGTCAGCACAGAGATTATCACTCCCAATTACTACCAAGGAAAAGAGCGAGCCATGCTCTTACCCAACTGCCTCTTCCGCATGGGCGGAGCAGCCATTCTTTTGTCAAACCGAAGGTCGGAGCAGTGGAGAGCCAAGTACCGTTTGGTCCATGTGGTTCGAACCCACAAAGGAGCCGACGACAAAGCCTACCGCTGCGTGTTCGAGGAAGAAGACAGAGAAGGAAAAGTGGGTATTTCACTGTCCAAAGACCTGATGGCCATAGCAGGAGAAGCTCTTAAATCAAACATCACCACCATTGGTCCTCTTGTCCTCCCTGCATCCGAACAACTTCTCTTCCTTCTCACCCTCATCGGCCGGAAAATCTTCAACCCTAAATGGAAACCTTACATTCCCGACTTCAAGCTTGCCTTCGACCACTTCTGCATCCACGCCGGTGGCCGCGCCGTCATCGATGAGCTCCAGAAAAACCTGCAATTATCGACAGAACACGTAGAAGCGTCGAGGATGACACTCCACAGGTTCGGCAACACATCGTCGTCTTCCCTGTGGTATGAGATGAGTTATATCGAGGCAAAAGGAAGAATGAGAAAAGGTGACAGGATATGGCAGATTGCGTTCGGGAGTGGATTCAAATGCAACAGTGCGGTTTGGAAATGCAACAGAAGCATCAAAACTCCCACGGATGGACCGTGGGCTGATTGCATTGAGAGGTACCCTGTTCATATTCCTGAGATTGTGAAGCTCTGAGACAGAATTTCAGACAAAAAAAGGTGGTGCTTATTTATTACTTTGGATGATTCAGTAAGTATTACTTTGGATGATTCAGCAAGTACTTTAGAAATTTAGAACCCAAAAAAAAAAAATGTTGATGATTATCATAACGTCTGTGGATTTGCATTTACTTCCCATCTTCTTCTTCATCTTCTTCTTCATCTTCATCTTCTTCTTTTTCATATCTTCCTTCTCTGTATTTCTATTTTTAAGGACCATGAAAACCTGCATACATATCCCAATATGCTCTTTTTTATGTAATCCTCCTGTAAACACATTACAATTTAGTATTGTTGTTCAAGTCTGGAATTACAAGTGTTTGATTCGACCTTGGATTAATTAATAAAACGTGGATTGACCTCATCGTCATCTTCTTCTTCTTCTTCTGCACTTATTTACTTCATCTTGGATGAAAAAGTTGGTTGATTATACAAATTATGCAAGCTACCGTGGTCCTGAAAAAAAAATTGTATTACTAATGAAAGATTGATGAAAAGTTTTAAGTTTGGGTTAAATCTTGGAATGGATTAATTATGGATGATTAAATGAATTAATTAAGAAGGTTACTATCCATGGAGTTGGCAACAGTTGGTTACTTGCTGCGGCTTTAATAAGGGTCATTTGAACAACCACCTAGTCGGTAGTGTGTTTCCATATGCTCCTAGATATCATTAATGTTTGCCCATTTAACAAGTACTTATCCAATACACATTTCACAAAACTATACATACACACACACACACACACATACACTTAATTTCCATATATGTAAAATATCACCTTGCTATTTAGTGTTACCTGAAATCTATGCTTATTTAATCTTGATGTCATCGTATGCTTGTACATCATATTATGCTATATTAAATTATGTTATATATATATATATATATATATGTATATATATAAAACATATGGCAGAAAAGGCCAAAGGGTTGGTAGTGCACCTTATTTTGACCTGTACTTACATGGCTACTGTGATAAATCTATGAAAAAATATATTCTGAAAGTCAATTTATTTGGATTTTATATACAAACACTTAGAAAAACTCAAAAGACCCGATTGAATATGGTAATTAAGTAAACTGGATTTACTTCTTTCAAATTCTCACCAAATTGAGAGCATACCACTCCAGCATCATCAACAACTCCAATGAAGTTGAAGAGGAGGACCACCTAAAAGGGCATAAATTACACTGGGTAATTCTGTATTCGATTACATAATATATTTATATACATATATGACGTGTATAATTATATCATATGCAATTAAGAGGCCGAAAAGGTCCACCTAATAAATAAAGGGAAAAAGAAGGAGCTCAATCCCCTCTTATGTATCATTATATCTGGGAGTAATTAATTTGACGACCTCTCCCCACTGTGAAAATGAAATTGCTTATATGTATACATACATGCATGCATACATGTATATGTATATGTATATGTATATGGATTCTCACCAAGCAAGGTAAAGATCTGACCTTTCCTTGGAGAAACAGGGTTGTTGAGGGGAATCACATTATACGCACTTGTTATTTATAGAAAGGTCCCTATTGGTACCACTTTGATATGTATATCTCAAATAAGATGTGTTTAAGAACTTCATTTTTTATTTTTTATTTTTTATTATAAAATCTTACAATTAGTAAAAAATTAGAAGATTACGAGTACGTATTTAAATTCTTAAAGTATTATACGGCACGAAGATGTCTCAACGTTGAGACGGACGTTCAATCTGACGTTTTTTTATTTATAAAAATTATTTATTTCTTGTTCTTGTTTATAAATTTCTACAATTTATAATTAGAATATAAACTCTTGTGAATTTTGAATTGGTAACAAAATTTACAATTTTATTGAAAAAAGAAAAATTAGAATTTAAAGGCGGCCCATGACAGTGGCCATTCGGCTGGTTGTCTCACGAGACAACAAAGTAAGTTGCAACAGATTTAAATCAGCTGCTTCGTTGTTTTTATTATTTAAATTGTTTTAATAAAAAATCACAGCACGTATGGTTAGTATTTATGACCCTTGCTAACTTTCTATTTAGTTTCATTATCCTCACGTGATGTATACGTACATACATACATACATATATATATATATATATAGAGAGAGAGAGAGAGAGAGGTTCGACTACAAAAATTGAGTTTTAACTTTTTGCCCATTTGTAATTTCTTTTAATTCCTATAATAAAATTATTAATTGTTATTTTTTTTCTCATAATAATCATACACTACCTATAACACAATATAAATAATAATACATATATATATATATATAGGATAATTCTGTCTTCGGATTACAAGTTTGAATTTTTTAATAGTAATATCTTTGTTTCTTTTAACTTTACTAACAACTAAATTTGTTTCGTTCAAATTTATATTGTGATAAGCGGTTGTTGTTATTGAATAAACTAATTTAAAAATAAGATAATATATTGATAAATCATGAATTTTAATATCATGAATATTTTTTTATAAAAATATTCATGAATCTGATCAATTACTATTTGTATTTTACGAAAAGACATGCGTATGTATTGACTTAAAGCGTATATTTTTATAACTGATTTATTCTTAATCAATTAGTTAAAAACGTAATTACGTGGTTAATTTTCAAATATAATATTTTATTTGAAGTTAACAAATTGTGACCACCTTAATAATATTATACAAGTGTGTGTGTGTGTATAAACAAGTGCCGTGTGGGGATGCATTCATTTCAACTATTCAAAAGAAATGTATGGGTTAACAAATGGCAGGAATTAAATGGAAGATATTATATATATATATATATATATATACATACACACACATATACATATAATGATATTTGTCTACGAAATTCTCACCAACCAACTACTCAGCTACTTTAAGTCGAGTCGAGTCTAAAGTATATGTTAAGTTTATTTTGTTCCATTAAATTTTGAATCCCAAAAAGCAAAGCTCAAAATTTTTTTAGGTGGTGATTGGAACATTTTCCTTCAAGGCCGCCATATTAATGGAGCCTACTTATTGGATGGCTAAAAAATATCATTTTTATATCATATCAATTCTTATATAATTTTTTTAAAAAAATATTGTATTAGTTAATCGTTAATATTAGTACGTGATATCTTTTGCCTCGTTACGTTTTTACATACGTTAACACGTAACATCTGACATAGATAAAAAAAAGTTATATATATATATATTTTTAATATAATATTTAATATAGAGATATAACTAATTGAAAAATAACGTGTATCAAAATCGGATCTACCTAATAATTATTAAGAATAAAACGATTTAAAAATATTATAACATAATGAAATGATGATATTAAATAAATAAATAAAAATTGTAATTTTTTATTTTTAATTTATTCTATAAATAGAAAAAACTACTAAATAAAGGAGTAATAATTAATTTTCTTGTTCTATCAATAATTCTTTCAAATCATAATAAATTTATTTAGAAAAATTAAATTATTTGGTCTTACTTAGACGTCACCAAGAAAATTAATGACATAAACTTGATTGAATTGTCAAAGTCGTGACCAATTATTTATTTTTTAAAAAAAAAAAATCAAATAAATTGTCTAATAATTTAATATATATATATATATATAAATTTATAATAAATAATCGATTAAAGCAGGTGATACTTATAATTTAGCAGCATCTAATTTTTCAACGTGGTGTGTAAATATTGGCCAAGATAATTAATTACCAATTAAAGTTTAGTCAAAAAATTTGCTATATCTAATAATTGCAATGATAAAGACTAGACGTGCATGCATGATATATGCATTAATAATGATATTATATTCTATCACCGAAACCGATTTCTAATGTGAGGGAACAAGTAGGTGAAGATTTTTCAAATTAAGTTTAGATTAAAGTTTAAATTTGTATTAAATTCATTAAAAAAAGTGTTTAATTCTTGTCAACTAACTCAAAATTTCCGTAAAATTATACCTCTCGATCATATACTTACACGAGAAAACAGGGATATGATTTGTATCATTTATCCCAATACTTATCCTTAAATATGATCCGGGTCAAGTGGGTTTGGTGAGATTTTGAGTGTTACTCACTTAGCTGTTTTTTTTTAATTACTTCCATGTTAGTTGACATAATTTTTAAAATCTTAACGAGAAAATTCCTACTTATCTTACTATTTTAAATAAAGATCAATTTAAATTTTAGGATGTCTTTAATTTTTGTGATTTTAAATAATTTTATCATGTTATTACTGTTGTAATTCCATGAGTTCCTTTATAATCTTTACTCATAAAGTCTTGTTTAAGTTCACAGTTAAGTTTGTCACTCTTAACTTAATCATTATTTAATATAGGTGGTGTGCCCATTAAGCCATATAGTTCATACAAGTGTTAGCTTCGTGGAAAATGTGACAAATACAAATTTTGTAATCACAAGGGAGAAGCTCTTTAATTTAATTCATAGTCGCATGTGGTTGTGGTGACTTGAACTGTCCACCTATTAGAGCAAAATGGTAAGAACCAAGTCCACCACAATGATTAACCTTCTGATCTCCATGTCCTAAATTAACTTGATATTTTTCAATGTCTAATATTTTAATTGTCATAGTATAGATATTGTTAATTTGATACATGAATTCAGTTATCCATTTGTTTCTACTGTTATGAATAAGACCATATGTCGTGTTGTTACTCAGTTCATCATATACATAGTCATCATTATTGAGCTTAAACATATTTCCTTAATAAAGTTTTCCAATCTAGTTCAATTTATTTATTTTAATCAACAATACCAAGTTTCTAATTGATTTACATGTACAAAATGTAAAACTCAAATGTCATATTGATAATACCATAGCTCAATGGTGCTCTTAAAGTGAGACCACGAACCACTTCGTTCCTCATCTTCCAAAATGACTAGGCATTAATTACAAAACTAGATCTCTATCTAGCAATGCTACGAGCATTAACTTATCTTTTCAGTAAATCTACATACTCATCGAAACATATGAAACTCATTAGTATATTTTTATCAATAAATTCAACTTTTATCAGTTTGAAAGTCAGACGATCACATAAAACATGAATGACACTCTCGCTAGAATTTTAACAGTAAGGTAACCCATCATCACATATGAAGTTTTATTGGTCTATTTTTCATTTAAAAAGAAACTTCTAAATGCGAATAGTCATAAAAATTGAACTGTTATTCTTTTTACAGATATTGCAAATAAAATTATTGTCAAATATATAGATTACACAATCACACTACCGAACCTAATAAAAATAAACAATTTGTACAAACTAATAGAATTCACAAATAACAAATATTAACTCTATTTGCTTTGCTAACCAGCAAGAAAAAAGAAATATATATATATATATATATATATATATATAAAGAAATTGACATATAGATGTTATAGTGAATGGTCCATCTAAAACCAAGGCCCAATCTCCTTATTAGAAGAGCCCATGCAATTTGTGGGTCTGAAAAGTTAGGGTCCAAAAATTCAGGATATAAAAATATTTGTAATTAATTAAGTATTATTACTAAATTAATTATTACGTTATATAAAAATATGTGTGTGTGTGTGTGTATATATATATATATATATATATTGTATATTAAATTAAGAATTGGTGTATTTATTTAAAAGAAAAAGCGCCGCTAATATGCGCGTAAAGGAATAGATAGATTAGATTTGGCAAAGCGTGTTGCCAACCGGACCGAACAGACATGCACCCTTTACTCTAACTCATTCGTTATTTCCTCAATATGTATATACATACACACAAAATACAATATATATATATATATATATATATAATAACATTGTAATGTTAGAATTCAATGTTTTTGAATTTTGACCCACGACCACCATACCTTCTAAGATGACTTGAATTTGACATTTGGCATCTATACATATATATATATATATATGTATAATGTAATGTAGGGCCTACGACCAAGAAGGCATGCCTTGAGTCGGTGAACAAGTTCATATGCTAAATTTCAAGTCATCGCCTTTCTACCATTACCACCAACCCCTTCCCCCTATTTCCCTTTCATAACCAGTCAATCCACCAACTTCTTTTTGTAAAAAAATTCAATTCGATTATTCTACATGTATATATATATATATATATATATATTGTATTCTCTCTTACAAATATTTTATTTTTAGAATATTTAAGTGTATAGAATTATAAACAAATAATAGTTTGACCCCCCCAAAAAATTGTAATAAATTAATTTTGACAATTTTTACACGAATCAAATTCTTGAATTGGTTCAAATCTCTTACTCACACCAAACAAATATTATGTCAACTGATTTGGTAAAAAAACAATACAATCAAATCTCCACGTTTTCTTCCCTTTTAGTTTCCGAAATTTGATTATTCGAGACTCGAATTTTCTATTTTTGACTTGCGTGATATTTTTACTCCGATTGATAATTATAAAAGTAAATATTTTTGATTTACGAATTAATAAGATCATAGTATTTATGATTTAATTTTACTAAATCCACATTTGAAATTTCTTGATTAGCAAAATTAACAGTGAGCAAATAATAATAATAAAAATAGAAAAAACCTTGCTTGCTTCTGCCATTCAAAGCCAAAACCTTTCAGAACCTAAACCTTATATCGTCCTCATTCACCAACCAACGAAACTTCACCCTCTGTTACTTCAACTATTTAAGCCATCTCTGCAACCCAATCTTTACAAAATCTCCTTTCCTCTTGCATTTCAAAAAACACAGCGACGATAACGAGGAAAAACTGCAGCAATGGGCTTTGACGAGAGACGGACATTGTTGGAGGAATTGATCGAGAGAGCAGGAGGCTGTGCAGTCATTGATGGAGGTTTCGCTACACAGCTCGAGAGACACGGCGCTTCCATTAAAGACCCTCTTTGGAGCGCCATTTGCTTGATTAAAGACCCAGACCTCATCAAGCGGGTACAATACGTTTTCTTAAATGCTTTTTTTTTTTTTTTTTTTTTTTTTTTATGGGTTTCTTATTTTTTTCTTTTATTAATCCCATTTCCGGGCTCAATCTGTTTGTTTTTTTTCCTCTGCAAAATGTACTCATTTAGCTATATTTTATTGGGTTCAATGTAATCTTTAGTGATATTCGTTGGTAATATCTGGGTCGTATATGCAGGTTCATATGGAATACCTGGAGGCTGGTGCTGATATCTTAATAACTTCATCTTACCAGGTCTGTTTATTTACATTTCATGTTTTAGTTCAATAGTTAGATCTATTTTGACTCTTATCTGCTTGTATATAACTGAGTTATTGTATTATTCTTGCCTTGAGTTCTATATCCATTCTAGGAAAAAAAAAAAAGAAAAACTTGAGTGGATTTGTTATTGTCTTTTTGTGTTAGATGGTCAGTCACATGTTTCCTGCTAAATTTGATGCCAAAAGAAGTCATTTTGGTTGTTGATTAATCTGATCCTATTTGCTTTCTCAAACAAGATAAATGCTATTATTTCTTTGATCTGGGAACTTCTGTTTTGATTTTCAATTATTATAATGAAAAATTCTTTCTATTTTTACAGGCCACCATCCCTGGATTTCTCTCCAGGGGATTGTCCATTGAAGAAAGTGAATCCTTACTACAGAAGAGTGTCAAATTGGCTGTTGAAGCTCGTGACAAGTTCTGGGATGCCATAACAACTACTCCTGGGCATAGTTACAATCGAGCTCTGGTTGCGGCCTCAATTGGAAGCTATGGAGCTTATCTTGCTGATGGTTCAGAATACAGGTGCGTTGTCGACAATCTGTGTAAATGTTAGTATAAGATATATGCAATTGGTTCTTAATGTTATTCGTGCTTGTAATTATATAAATGCACTTAACATAATCATGTCATGATAATGTTGTCCATCCTCTGTTCACAGTGGGTGCTATGGACCAGATGTAAACTTGGATAAGCTGAAAGATTTTCATCGGCGTAGACTGCAAGTTCTTGTGGAGGCCGGTGCTGATTTGCTTGCTTTTGAGACCATTCCTAATAAACTTGAAGCTCAGGTATCGACTCTGTTCTTTCACTTTCTAGAGTGTATTAATGATTTACAGATTTCCAAATAAAAATATGACTCTGCTGCATTACTCCATTTAATTGATCGGAGTCATTTCTCGATTGGCACTTACACCTTACAAGCGTATTAATATTCAAAATATCAAATGTTGTAGGCCTGTATCGAGCTTCTTGAAGAAGAAAACATTCAAATTCCATCTTGGATTTGCTTCAGTACCGTCGATGGTCAGAATGCACCATCAGGAGAGACTTTTGAAGAGTGTCTTAACATGATAAACAAGACTAACAAAGTAAATGCTGTAGGCATAAACTGTGCACCTCCCCATTTTACAGAAAGTCTCATTTCTAAATTTACGAAGGTATTACTCCGGATATTCTCCATTTTCTCGCATCCCCTCGTAAATTTTTCTCTTTCCATACTCATCTTCTTAAAGACATGAAAAATTCGGGCTCAAAGATATTGAAATCGATGGAGATGTGCTTCTTTCACATTTTGAGTTGCAGTGTTTCTTTGTTTCCAGTTAACTCAAAAGGCAATAGTTGTTTATCCAAATTTTTCTCTTTCCATACTTATCTTCTTAAAGACATGAAAAATTCGGGCTCAAAGATATTGAAATCGATGGAGATGTGCTTCTTTCACATTTTGAGTTGCAGTGTTTCTTTGTTTCCAGTTAACTCAAAAGGCAATAGTTGTTTATCCGAATAGTGGGGAGGTATGGGATGGCAGAGCAAAGAGATGGCTGGTGAGTTACTCTTCTCCCTTTCTATCATCCACCATCATGTGCACGCTTGCCTGCACATACAATTGATTTGATGATTATTGAATTCATATTGTGATTCTGATCAACAGCCATCGAAATGTTTTGGCGATGACAAATTTGAGGTGTTTGCAACAAGATGGCGTGACTTGGGAGCTAAACTCATCGGGGGTTGTTGCCGTACATCTCCTTCTACAATCCAAGCCATATCAAAGGCTTTGAAAGAAAGCTCTTAAGCAGTTCTGAAGATCATGCATAATTTAAGGAATACAAAAGGTTTTGAAAGGAATCTCTGAATTAGTGAGAGGATTACCCCCGAGTCTCCTGCAATATATTTATTGTAGTCTAGAGATAGTTATTTCTTTAGACAGATGAGATCTTTTTGTAGTTTTTTTTTTTCTTTTGAAATGGGGAAGGTTTACATCCATCCCTTGAGACCAGTTGAGGCAGAAGGGTGTAAGTTTACTAACTAGTCATTTTAAATTTGATTTATTCCATTCTTGATGTTATATGCAGAAAAGAAAAAGTGCAAAGAGTGCCTGAAAATTTTGAATTGCAACAAAAGAACTTTCAGAAACTAATTGTAATGTAACTAATAATTCAAAAGGGAAAATAATGAAAATAGCCACAACCGTAACTTCATTATAATATTAAAGACTTGTGTGATTTCCTAAAACCAAAAAAGAATGATTCATACGGCTCAAAAGGAGATAACGGGAAGATCAAATTAGTTCAAAACAATATGCTTCAACGTCAAATACTTTCTAGCGTTTACAAACTCCCAACAAAAGAAGCTAAAACCTATACATGCCAATTCCACATAGAGCAGTCCTTCACCGTCCATGACGAACATGCTTATCATAAGGTGTCCATCTGCCACCAGATCCATCACCAAGAGTAACACCACCATATCTCATTTCAGGGCTTCCATTTAACATGTAACTTCCACCACCTATACAAAAAGAGCAAAAGCATTTTCAGAGGCCACGGTTTGTGATGATAACAACAAGAATATGAGGATAGATGTAAAAGGGAGAGACAAGGAAGGACCTCGATCCCTTCTCTCCGCATTCAGCTTCTCTGCACGTAG